TCAACTTCTCATTTTTCTCCTCCCTCCCTTATCCTCCCTCCCTCATGAACCCTTGATAATTTATAAATTTTTTTTCATGTCTTACACTGTCCAGTGTCTCCCTTCACCTACTTTTCTGTTGTCTATCACCCAGAGAGGGGGTTATATGTAGATCTTTGTGATCATTTCCCCCATTTTCCCCCACCTTACCCTTACCCTCCTGGTATCTCTACTCTCATTATTGGTCCTGTGGGTTTATGTGTACTGGATTCCCTGTGTTTCCAGCTCTGATCTGTACCCATGTATATCCTCTGGGCTAGCCGGATTTGTAAGGTATAACTGGGATTATGATAGTGGTGGGGGAGGAAGCATTAGAGAGCTAGAGGAAAGTTGTGAGATATACATTCTTATTCCTCCCTTCATATGTTGTACAAAAGGTGCCAGGCTATCTGTTCTGTTGCGCACCCTGCCCTTTTCCCTGCTTACGTTCTCTGGAGGTCTTTCCAGGGTGGTCCAGAGCGACCTTCCTCAGAGTTTTATGTTTACTGGTGTTGTAAGCTGCCTCCACACTGCTTCTGCTGTGAAATAGGTGGAGTGCTGCCCAATCCTCACGACCACCAGCACATCCACACCCATCGCTGTGGCTCCCGGCCAGTCCATCTCACCAAGGGTCCCCAATACCCTTCCTGTTCCCGCAGCTTACCCAAGATGACAACCTCCTTTTTTATAGCTTAGTCTCCCATCATTGGGTCTTTGAGTTGTTTAAAACCTAGGACACAGTTACAAAATGGGGCTAGAAGGAAGATTCCTGCTCGTGGGTCACTGTGTACTTGCGCAGGTCTATCTTGGTGCTAGATACCTACAGATAAGATTGCTGGCTCCAAAGGTAGAGCGATGTTGCCGTCTTTCTCCAGTAGGGTTTCTAGATTCCACACTCCCACTAGCAAGATGAGAGAGTGCCTGTCTCCCCATCCTCTCCCGACAGCAGAGACCTCACACGGTCTCAGTTTTGCAAAATGTGATAGGGGCGAAACGATTTGCATGGTTAAGCCCAAGAAGTATTGCTACTGGGGTCCCAGGTCATACATGGGGCAGTTCCTCCAAACGAAGCACGCGTGAGCATGCCTGAGATCAGCAGCTGGCTGCAGACAAGTTCTCCGCGATTCCCTCGACTTCGGCTCATTAGGGTGCCTTCAGAAACAGCAGTCCATCCCACACAGTTGCTTTGGAGGGCATCTACTAGGCCTCATAAGTCCTAGACAGAGAAGTCAGCTCTGAAGGCTGTGGCCACACTTTGATGGGCTCTTAAAGGATTAACCTTAACTGATTTCCTGGATAATAGTGGAGCTTATTAGGAAGAATTTAAAGAGAACTGTGTTGGTTAAAAAAAAAAAAAGGCTGGGGAAATTGCACTGAGGATTTTTTTTTTCAGTGCACCTGCTGATTCTACCTGGGGGGCAAGGGCTATGCTAGGAGAGTGGTGTGGAGAAGCCTCATCCATCCTCCCGGTGGGCCTAATCTTGCTCCTCAGACTGGTGTCTGTTCCTAAAATTCAAAGATCATTTCAAAGGACCACACTTGAGTCCCCAGAGCATGCCCAAACTGCCGTTTTGATGCAGTATATATTGAAGAGCACCGAGCTCCTCAGGGAGGGTTAGAGAGATGGAAAAACCCACCTTCAGAAGTGTCCATGGGGGCTGGACCCAACTGGAGGATCTGTCAAGAAAAAAATCACTTCACGTTGTTTTTGTTCAATCATTTTCTTTAAATCATTTTATTGGGGGCTCTTACAGCTCTTATAACAATCCATATATCCATGGAGTCAAGCACATTTATACATTAGTTGTCATCATCCTTTGCAAAACATTTTCTTTCTACCTGAGCCCTGAGTATCAGCTCCTCATTTTTTTTCCTCCCTCCTCACTGCACATTTTGGTATTTTGTTCAAGAACGGTTCTCCCCAATTTGCAGTGATACTCTCTGACTTCCCTTCCTACCATATAGTTTTTATGCCTCTTATTTTGGCTATGACAACCCTGGTCGTCTCACTCATAGTGAGTGACCTTTCCGATGTCTGAGTGCTTAGGAACAAAGCGGAGAGCCTAAACCATTCATTACAAGGGAGATGACAACTGCGCCGTGTCATCCAGCCAAAGAGAAATAAAGCCATGGCAACCATGAGTTGCTCCTGGAAGGTGGAGCCACGTAAGACCATCATGTATCCCCTGTGCCTAATGGTGAACCTGATGCTCACTCAGGGTGATTAGCCCAGAAGAGCTGCTCTGTTCGAATCCCAACAGTGAGAAAGCATGCATGCATGTGCGTGTGCGTGTGTGTGCGCGCGCGTGCGTACATGAGATTATTCGTCTTGCCTCCATCTCAACCCCATTTTCCCAGTGGCTGTGGGGTGGATTCTGACTCTTGGCAGCCCCACGTGTGTCCGAGCAGAACTGAGCCCCACGCGGTTGTCAGTGATGGATGTGTCAGAGACAATCAGCAGGCCTTTTTTCCAATGGGCAGCCTCGTGACCGCTAACCTTCTCATTAGAAACCCAGCAGGTTCACTACTCCCACATGACCTGTCCTCCAACTCCGTCTTCCCCTTTTCCCCCATCCACAGGGGGGTGCTCAGATCAGCCTGGCTGAGGTCTGCCGGTCTGGAGAGAGATCAACTCGCTGGTACAACCTCCTGAGCTACAAATACTTGAAGAAACAAAGCCGAGAGCCTCAGGCAGTGGGAACCAGCGGACCTTCCCCAGACCCCAAAAGCACGGTGAGCTCACACCCTGGTCGGCTCCATCCTCCCCTATCCTGCTGGGATGCAGGGTGGACATGCGCCACACAGGCGTAGAGGCAGTAGGCGACAGAGACCCAGAAATGGAGCAGAAGGCAGACACCAGGTGACAGGGAGGAGGGCAGGGTGGGAGCAGGGAGCACCTGGACTACCCTTCACTCCCTTCTGTCCTTCGCTTAAACAACCTTGACGTTCCTAACCACATTTGCTTGGCAAAATTCTTAATTCAGGATTGATTGACTGGTTGATCTATCCATGCACGTGTGTTTTATTTATTTTAAAGACCTGGAGAACTAGGAAAGGCAGAGAGTGAACCTTCATTGAGACTTACCCTGTACAAGATATACTGAGAGTGTTGTTGGGAACTGCCGTCATGCCAGCCCCTACTTTGACAGCCTCCCATCAACAGAACAGGCCCTGCCTGGCCTTGCCTGGTCCCCATGATGGTCTCAGACTGGACCTCATTGTGATCCACAGGTCGTTTCCATTACTGGTTTTCCAGAATGACATGCCCAGGACCTTCTCACTCTGGGGCTCCCTGACACCTGCTCAGCGTCTTAGCTACACTCGAGTCTCCACTGGGGAGAGGCTGCACGGGAGATGCAGCTCTGCCCTGTTCTCTAAGGTCGCTAGGAATCAGAACAGACTCCGCGGCAGTAGGTTCCGCTTTGTTTTTATTAGCTGTCAAAGGGCGGCGATGAGTTGGCCTTGACTGAATGTCCGTGAGTTTGGTTTTTGGGTTGAGTCATGTATCGAGTGCCAACTCTTCTGATAACTTTACACATATGGTTGACTAATCGTTGTATCAGCCCTTTGCAGTAATTATTAGAGAAAACTCAAAGGGGTCTGCTCCACTGAAACTCTTTTGTACTGTTGTGCTCTTCCTCCAGGAAACCCACCCCCCCACCCCTGAATACAGCCCCCAGGCAGTCTTTGTCCCAGTGCCTGTGCCGTGCCCACACAACTAAAGCACCACATTGTTTGGTTATTGATGAAACAGGTGTTGGTTTCCTTGGCTACATCATCTTACATCCAGAGAACTGTAATCCTCTCACTTAGCTACTGTACTAAACGATGGTGTCTTCCAAAGCGCTGCATGTATCGAGTAGGTCTGTATCTACCGGGGTTACTCTGAGGAACTGCCCATCTGAAGAGCTTAGGGTGGTGTTTCTAATTTCTATATTACCTTGGACAAGACACTTCTGCACTCTGGTCTTTAGTCTGTCTAAGTTCATGGGGAAGGACACAGCTCTCGAAGCTCTGGTTCCTGCCAGGTAAGGCCAGGGTCCTGGCACACCGATGACCCCTGGGCCTTCCCTGGTCTCTGCAGGACGCTGTGTCTGCTCTGCTGGAACAGACGGCGGTGGAGCTGGAGAAGAGGCAGGAGGAGAGGAGCAGTACACGGACCCTGGAGGACAGCTGGTAAGTTGAGGCTTTGCTTGGGCCTCGGGACATAGCCTGGATTGGACCTGAGCTCAGGGATGAGATCCCCAAACACCAGGGCAATCAAGAGAAGAATTCTCCTGGGAAAACCGAGGCATCCTCTCCTCGCGGGCTCTCTAAAGGCAACGCGGCAATCTAGCCTGGTGCAGTAGTTCCCAAGATCCCGTCCCAGTTTGTCATCCTTGTGTTCCGTAGACCTGTCACCCAGGCTCTTCCGCCCCGATAGGATGGTTTTACATTGACCTTTGCCTTGGTGATCTAAAGTTGGCTTTCATTTTAAGTCACATTTACAATGTGACTCCTATGCTTAGACGCTAAGCATCATTGGCCTCCGTGAAGAACTGCATGTCGTAGACAGAAGTGGAGCACAAAAACAGCAGACTTCACTCAGGCCGGCGTTTGTTTCTCCCCAATAAGAAAAGAGGGGTGGAGAGACAATGCATTTGGGAGCGCCATGGTCTTCTCGTACCCAAGGCTCCTCCTCTCTTTTGCTTACTCTCTTTTTCCCTACTGCTTGATTTCCATCATCAAGGCTCCCTGAGAGGCCAACACGACTGTGTGGTCACCAGCACTGGAAAAGAGGAAGGGAAAAAGGATGAGCCTAAGCCTGTGCACCTGTGACGAAAGAGTGTCCTGAACGAGCCACATAAGCACCTTCTCCTTGCATTTCATTGGGCAAGCGTAGCCTGTGCCCTACCTAACAACAAGGGAGCCTGGGAAATGAAGTCTGTTAGGTAATCCATCAGGGTTCGGTTAGAATGAAAGAAATCAGGAATGGACACTGGGTTCACAGTAAGCCAAGCCTGCCTCAGAAAGTAACTGGAAAATTGAACAAACAGGAACGAAACAATGTGATTACAGACATCTGATGAGGTGTGTTGCTTGCTAAGGTCCTCCGCCCTGAGATCTTCCCTCCTGTTACTCAAACGGAAGTGTTTCAGCAATGTTAAATACATGGTGAGTCCACTTCCCACAGCCAAACGTGCTCCTCAGTGGAGTGAGTGGGTTTGGGGGAGAATGAAAAGGGACAGCTTTCTTACCGCCAGGCCCTGTGCTGTTTAATGTCCTGCATGCCAACAGAAAGCCCTCCGCCCTCACTGGAGAAACTACTGACCTAGAGTCAGGTTCAAATCCCGACTTCATCACAGGCTGTGGAACTTTAGGCAAAGCCTCTTCTCACTTTTTGTTGACGTTACACATCTGGACAGAAAAGTCTGCATCGGGGTATAGCTCTGCGAATAACGAGCGACCAGGCAGCCTTGCGACCGACGTGCAGATCAGGATTCTGAGCATCACCAGCAGGCTGTCCACTCACACCACCCTCTGCCCCAAGCCCTCTCTGGTCCTCCATGGAAACCAGCACCCTGACATCCCACCTGAGGCCGGTCATTCCCACTTTCTCTGCGCCTCCCTTAGAAAACAGGGAAACAACACCCACTTAAAAGGACATTGGATAAAAGCTAAATTGGGCTACTCTCCACAAAGTCAGCAGTTCAAGTCCACTAGCCACTCCATGAGAGAAAGATAAGGCTTTCTGTTCCCATAAGATGTACAGCCTCAGAAACCTAAATTATCAAATTGACTTGAAGGTAGCGAGGCCTTTTGGGTTGTTTGGTTTTTTGAGACAGGTGATTGGAAGGGCCCTGGTGGCACAGGGTGAGGTCCTTGGCTGTGCCTCAAAAGATGGAACCCTCCAACCATGCGGTGGAGGAAAGCTGTGGCAGTCTACATTCACAGGGCGCCACTCTGCCCAGGAGGGTCACTCAGACTTGGAATCGACTCATTGGCAGTGGTTCTGAATAACGATTAGAGCCAGAAGGTTAGCCATTTGCATCTGCCCAGGGGCATCTTGGGAGAACGTCCTGCTCATCTGTTTCCAGCAAACCAACACTGAAACCCCGATACACTGCATTTCCACTCTGGTAACCAGGACACCATGAATCAGGGTCACCTTGGCAACAACACGTTTAGGGTTTGAGTTGCATGAAGATTGAGTGTAAAGCACTTAGTAGACACTCAAGAAGAACAGAAAGTATTATCAGGAAAAAGAAAAGGGATCCAGAAAGGGTAAATTCCATCCAGGAGAAAACAGCGATGGTCCAGGAATCTTGCCATTTGGGCGCTTGCCCCGGGTTGGGCTCAAGAGCATTTACTGTGAAGTCCCACGGACGAACATTCTGAGGGGAGCTCAGTCTATTGACTCTGGAAGCCAAGCTCAGGGTGTGCCCTGAGCCCAAGTCTGTTTTAGAAGCTGCCCCTGTGACTAATGAGCACCGTGGGCTGAGAACCACGACACTAAAACCTCCGTGTCCTCTGCTGGGGCATGACGACTTCAAACACATCAGCCACTGCGTCCCAGGGACAAATAGGTAGTCCAAGGCCACCAGCCACTCAGCGGGAGAAAGATGAGGCTGTCTGCTCCTGGTAAGATGTATAGCCTCACAAGCCCTGAGAGAGAGAGAGAGATTCGACGGGTGGGGACAAACTCAACAGCAGTAGTGACATTGTGGGGGAGAGGAACTTAGAGTTAATGCGTGAAGATTGCTTTATACAGGCAACTCTCTGTATCTCCCCTCTTCCTGTCCCAAGGAGGCTTGGTGGCACAGCCATCTGACCCTCAGCAGGTAACCAAAAGGGAAGACCTGCTCCATGAAGATCCCAGCCTGGCAGACTATGGGGCAGCCAGGCTCAGTGTGGACACAACAGTGCCTAAGGACAGCAGCACTGCTATTCTAGGACAGCCCCACCATTAGACCTCCGGCCTCAGATTTCTTTGACTCTCATTCCGAGGACTGGCACACATTGTCTCTAAGGGGCGAGGTGGTCAATAGTTCTGCTCTGCAGTCTCATACAGACTCTGCGACAGCCCCCTACTCTGCATCGTGGTGTGACTGTAAAAAAATTTGGCCTTACTGCCATCGAGTCAGTGTTGATGCAGAGTGACCCTGTAAAACAGGGAGAGCTGCCCCTGTGAATTTCCAAGACTGCAACTCTTTATGAGCGTAGAAAGCCTATCTTTCTCCTGTAGAGTGAAACTGGTGGTTTCAAACTGCTGGCCTTAGAGATGGAAGCCCAAGGCAGAACCATTACGCCACCAGGGCTCCTTTGTAGCTATAGACCAGTGCAGATGATCGACCAGGTCCACGGTCCAGCAGAACCTCATTTGTGGACACTGAGGCTTGAATTTCATATCATGTGCACATATCATCTAATATTCTTTTGATTCTCTTCCAACCACTTAAAAATGTAAAACCTATTCAGTTTTTCAGACTATGGAGAAATGGGCGGTGGGCTGGAGACCAGGCCCACACGCTATTGCTCAGTGTCCCCCTTCCTTGATGGTAAAGATTGTAGCAAGATGTCTGGGTTTTCCTGTGTCTGAGGGGTCTCTCTAAGTTGCCTCTCTCATTCTCCAGGTCGCTCTCTCCTTCTTCCTCCCTTTCCTCTCTTCCCATCTGTGCTATTGCTCTTCCTCTTCCTCTCTCTCTCTCTCTCATATCTCTGGCCCTCTGTTATGCTCAGCTATGCTGAGATTCACACTGGTGAAAGCCTGATGCCGGAAATAAGCCCAGGACCTGTCTCCCAAAAACCCTGGCACAAGATCAGTGGTTTCCGCCAAATTCCAAGCTTGTGTTGAGACTTTTCACACTGTCTCCTAGCAACTGCCTTCTGTTCTCTCTCCCTTTGTGGCTCCCGCTCGCCCCACCCCTGCCATTCAGACTTCCCCAGACACTGACTTACAAAGAGGCCTGGGGGATCCCAGAGCTAGGATGCTGAGGTAAGTCCATCTGCAGTCCCCTCCCCGAGACTGGGATGTTAACAGCCACCAGTGGATGGCTGTTCTGACTTACACGCGTGCCTCAACACCCAAGGCCCTGCGTCTCATGCTGATCCCTTCTTTTAGGCTTATTTGCTACCTGAAATCCAAGGCTAGACCTTGCTTCAGATCTGCAAGCAGAGCAAAGCTCTAAGCATGTTAGCAAATGCAGGAGAATCGAACCACAAAATTCTTGTACTTGTATTTGCTCCCTTAGAAACGTGTGTTTGTTTGCTTAAGAGAGAGATCAATAGGAAATAAAGAAAGCATACCTTTTTAAAGAACCTGTAGATTCTAACAGGCCTTTCTCAAAAGAAACTATCTATCTGAATGGTGAATAAGCAAGTGAAAAGATCCTCTACAGAGAAACATGATCGGAAACCACAAGGAGATACCGGGCGGCACCAGCAGAATGGTGAAACTTGAAGCCGATGATACCAAGTGTGAGCAAGCAGTGTGGACAGATGTGGTGCAATGTTGTCGATCTCTCGGTATGTCCTTATGATAGCCCAGCATGTCTCAGTCTCAGAGAAATGAAAACTTACCTACACACAGAGTCACGGGCGTTTCATTCATAGTGGCCGGAACATGGACATAGGACACATGGTTATCTACTGATAAGCAACGTCACGATTTGTCCCATTCATCCTTCCGGTGGAATCTTACCAGTCTGCTATCAAGTCGACAGTGGCGCATGGCGACCCCAGGCGTGTCATTAGAACGGTGCGCCAGAGTCCTGTGTGTGGGTTTCCCAAAGTAGTTCACCAGGCGTTTCTTCTGAGGTGCCTTGGGTAGCGTCAAACCTCCAACCTTTTGATGATCAACCAAGTGTATTAGCCATTTGCACCCCCCAGGGAGCCTCAGTAGACTATTACTCAGCTGTCAAGAAAGAACAGAGCCCTGGCACGTGGGCTGATCTGAGAAACATGATGCAGAGAGAAAGAAGCTAAACACAAAAGCACCCACTGCTTCGTTGCGTGGCCATGATGCTCTGGAAGGAGCCATGAGTGACAAGATGCAGATCAGCCGCTGTCTGGGGCTGGAGGTCAGGGGCCAGGAGGATTACTAAGGAAAGGGTACAAGGAAGCCTTCTGGGTGTCAAAAGTACTCTGTATCTTGACTGGGGTGGCGGCCGCACTGGAGGCCACACGTGTGGGACACTGGACATAAGTGCCCTGAGTTGCAGGATAGAACCTGAGACCCTGATGTAAGGTGGGAACCTGCCAGACAAGAAAAACTCAAGCACTGCCTCTTAATGGACCGTGTCACAGGAGGTTAACATGCAGGACCTGGAAATGCCTGGCCATCCCCGCTCGCATGCACATCCCACTGTATGTGAGTTATACCTCACCGATGTTGGGGTTCCCCAAGACGGTGCCTTAAGTCCCGAGAAAGCTTAGCAGCCTGGTCATTGGCTGATCTCTGAGTGGTTGACCAAGCCCCGTGTCCCATCCCAGGCCGTATGATGAGGAGGCCAGCGAGCAGGAGGCAGTGCCAGCCGAAGAGGAGGAGGAGGAGGAGGAGGATGTGTTCATGGAGAAGACCTCACTGGATGAGCACTCGGAGACTTTAAAGGTAGGGAGAGCGGGCAGGGGAAGGAGCACCCTGAAGGGCAGGCTGCGATTGCATAGAGGACCGGGCAAGGCACCTACAGGAGAAGGCCAGCCTTTCCAGCTGCTCCACTCCAAGTGCCTTGCTCAGTTGCTGCTGTTACAGCAATTTCTCCATCTGGCAGGGAGCACCTTTTCACCCGTTGCACCAGGCTGCTATGCAGGCTGACCCAGAGGCCGGCAGCCTGGCTCTCCGGAGCCATCTGCAGCTCTTTCCAGACGTGCATGCGGCTCTGAAGGAAAATTGAAAAGAAAACTATTGTAGTTTCATTTATAACATTTCGAAAGGATATTATTCAGATCATGGTGATTTCACTTGTTTGTGAACATATAACTATGGCTCTCGAATGATTTGTAAATTGTTCTAAGGGACAGGATTGGCTCTTCTCAGAAGTTTGCTGACCATAGGCTAACCGAAGCTTTGTACTTCAGTGTACTTGTTGGTCTTGAACTGGGTGTCTGGGGTGCAAGGAAAGTCGGAGGCCTGATGACCCAGTTTTTAGCAACTGGACTTACTGATAAGGGGTTTTAGAGGCATAGTGGGTTACATGTTGGTCTACTAACCCCACCAGCCACTCTCTAGGAGAAAAATGATGCCTTCTCCTCCCATAAAGACTTACAGCCTGGGAAACCCTGGGGAGCAGCTCTACTCTGTCCTGTGGATCGCTATGACTGCACTGACTTGAGGGCAGTTGCTTACACTGACCAGTTGCCTCCAGCATTACAAGAAGGTGCCGGGGTTTGAGATGGGGCAGTATCTCCAGGATGTGGGGGCCAGGGCACAGGTCCTGCTAGCACTAACTTCGATGGCACTGCGAAAAGGGGCTGAGGTGCCATCCAAGCTAAGCTGAGCCAGAGGAAGGCGCCTGTCTGCTGGCCAGAGGGGAGGGACAGGAGTGGACCAGAGCTGGGAGGGTGGCTCTGTGGCTCTCTCTGTGGTGAGTAGCTGAGGAGTCAGGAAGCCTGCTGGTCTCAAAGTTGTGACTTCTTCCTCAGGTGGACAAAGAGACCAACACAGAGACCCCAACTCCCTCCCCCACTGTCGTGCGGCCCAAGGACCGGCGGATGGTGGGCACCCCATCATCAGGGCCATTTCTGCGAGGGAACACCATCATCCGCTCCAAGACCTTCTCCCCTGGACCCCAGAGCCAGTACGTCTGCCGGGTAAGCAAACAGGTGATGCTGACCTTGCCCCAAACCTCAGAGAGGCTTCGACTTCCCATGTGCTGGGCTCGAGTCCCTGCCCTCTCAGCCTCACAGGTTGGGGGCACCTCCACTTCCACCTCTGGAGTGGAGAGCCTAAGCTGGTGGGGTCGTTTGAAGGCTCGCTCTAGACAAAGTCTGCAAAGGGCTCAGTAGACAGTCTGTGGCCAGTGTTCTTCTCCCCAGGGCCTCTCCCTCCTCCCAGTGTCCCTTCCTTCCCACTAGCTGGGTGCAGAGTAGATGCTCCGTACTCCACTCCCTGTCCTTCCCACTACCTGGGAGTTTTCTGCAGCCGGGATCTGCAGAATGGTGACAGGCAGGTTTTATTGGGTATAGAGTTGGGGTTTTTCGGTATTTGTGATGTTTTATTGAATGCTTTATTAATATTGCAAAATTGAGAAAGACGGTTAAAAACCAATTGATTGCAAGTGGATCAGAATTAGGAAAGACAGTGGACAACAGAAATAATGGATTTCACATAAAATTCCACTTTCTCTTTGGGGGGGGGTGGAATCACTCTCTGACCCCGTGGGCCCACCTGGCCCAGGCTGAGCAGTGGTGACAGCTGCCACCACCTAGAGGTCAAAGCAGCAGCTTTCTGGTTCACCCGGCCTGCACGAGCCCTCAGGACCCCCTGCAGGTCCCCACCTGCTCCTGCAGCCCTGGGGTTGCCCTGCCCGACTCTCGGCCTCAGCCCTCCAGGGTGTGGAGGGCTTGGTAAGTCTGAGGGTGTCGCACTGGGTGCTGGGAACACAAGGAGACCCTGTGCCCACCTTGCTTGGGGAGAGTTCAGGCTGAGCCCCAGGCCTAGGCAGTATGCCTGTGAACATGCTTCCCCCCTCCCTGCTTGCAGAACTGATGAACAGGCATTAGAAACATACAGCGTGTTCCAGAAAGTTGCCATCAAAGCTGGTATTCAAAGAACCTTGCCTGTTTCAGCCTGCCCCTTACCTATGGGTCGGGTTATTGTTAGGTGGAAGAAGGGGGTTCTCAATAACTGAGTATTTCATCTCCAAGGCCTACAATTATCATATGGAGTCAGAAATTAACTGTGTCATACCTAGAAATGTTCACTAACTTGCTAGCTGCTCCTCATATGGTTGTTGCTAGCTGCACCAAGTCAGCCCCGAGACTCAGGGTGACCTCACACACCTGGTCCTGCATCCCCATCATCAGGTGCAGATGGGGCTGTGATGGTACGCGGGTTTTTCACCACTGCTTTCAGAAGTAGATCACCAGGCCTTTCTTCCTGATCCCCCTCTTGAGCTTAAGGCTCCCCAGAACCCTCCTCAGGATCACAGCCAGCCTCCATTGGCAGACAGGTGGTGGCTGGGGACGAGGTACACTGGCCAGAATTGAATCTGGGGCCCCCACATGGAAGGCAGAAGTTCCACACCTGTCCCACCACTGCCTCTTTGTGAGAACAAACAAACAAGCACCTAACTGCCTGCCAGAGAGTCCATTCCAACCCTGAAGGACAGGTAAAACTGCCCCTGTGGGTTTCAGAAACTGCCCATCTTTAGGGGAGCAGAAAGCCTCATCTCTCCCCCATGGGGCTACAGCTATTGGTGGTTTCTAACTACCAACTTTGCAGTTAGTTGTAGTACCCCACTACACCACCCAGGTTCTTTCCAAGCCAAACTGACTATCATAAAGTTGATGCTGACTCATAGGACAGAGTAGAGTTTCTGAGACTATAACTCTTTAGGAGAGCAGAAAGCCCCGTCTTTCTCCTGAGGAACGGCTGGTGTACCTGGTGGTTTTGAACTGCTGACCTTGTAGTTGGGAACCCAAAGAATAACTACTATACCACCAGGGCTCCTGTCCTGGGCTCTTTAGTTCTCCCTAATCTAATTGTTCGCTGTGTTCCCCTGTCAGTAAGAAGGTAACCCCCTCCTACATTGTCCAGCTTCTGGCTGATTGTTTGCAGTTGTGAGCATCTGAAACAACATTGCAAACACAGCGTGTTGGCTCTAGTCCTTGTAAGAAGATCCGTACTTCCTGAAGTCATTGAAAGTTATGTTGGGGAATTCCTGTATCACAGGTGAAGGATCTGTCGATTAAGCCAGTTGACAGCTGGAGGAGAGAGAAATCCTATCAGTGCACAGGCCTGTGGCTGCCACGCCAACTCTCGAGAGAAGCCCCTACCCCTGCCTCCCCGGGTGTGCGGTCCTGCCTCGAGCCTCCCAGTCATCCTCTGGGGGGCAGCTCAGAAGAAGGACCGTCCCATCTTGACACAGCCCTGACTTCTGCATAAAACCAGCAGGGTGACTCCAACTCCGAACAGCCCCTGAGCACAGCAGAAGGGCCCCTGTAGGTTGCGGAGACGTTCACTCTTTGTGGGAGTAGAAAGGCTCACCTTTCGCCCTTGGAGCTGCCAGTGGCTGCAAACTACCGACCCTGCAGTTAGCAGCCCAACATATAACCCATTACACTGCCAGGGCCCCTTCAAAGAAGGAGAAATAGGCACTTCAAGGGGTTCTGATGGGGAGGGTCCCTGGAAGGCCCAGCTTGCCTCATTTGATCCAAAGAATGGGACCAACGGCTTTGCCTGAGGCAGCTTTTTAAGAAGTCCATGTGGGATAAATCTTGTTTTGAGTGTAGAATTCAGTGGCACTTATTACACACGCTGTGGTGGGCAAGCATCACCACTCCCTACCTCCTGGCTGTTGGGCTTGGTTTCTTTTAAGGAATCTGGCAGTGGTTCCCCGAAGCCAGGTTCTAGGGGCCACAGGGAAGAACAGCTATAAAGAGGCCTTGACCTTCAAAATCAAACCCTTTACAGGAGCAGTGAGCCTCATTGTTCTTTCGCAAAGACGCTGGGGGTTGAACCCACAATCTTCCAGTTAACAGCCCAATGCCTAGCGTACAGCACTATATCAGGGCTCCTTCGCATCATGCATACTCCCAAAACCCACTGCCACAGAGTCCATTCCAACTCACTGTGACCGTATAGGACAGAGTAGAACTGCCCCTTTGGGTTTCTGAGGCTTTAAATCTCCACAGAGGCAGACAGCTTCATCTTTTTCCCAAGGCACAGCTGGTAGATTCAAATGGCTGTCTCTGCAGCCGTGCCGTTAGCAGCCTACTACCTAACCTAGCACACCACCAGGACGCCTTCCTCACACACAGTGCATGCTAGATGAAGGTTTACTTACATCGAAAAGGAAGGTCAGCCTGCAGTGTTGGCACAAAGAGAGGCAGGCTTGGGCTAAGTGGGGAAAGCCGACGTCCCACCCTCTGACCCCTGCATGCATTCCAGAACACACCCTGACCATGCTGCTTAACTTCCCGTGACTCTTCTTTTGCAGCTGAACCGGAGCGATAGTGACAGCTCCACTCTGTCCAAAAAACCACCTTTCGTCCGAAACTCCCTGGAGCGCCGCAGCGTCCGGATGAAACGGGTAAGAGAGCCGCCCAAAGGTCCTGCCTGCCTCCTGTGCGCCGTGTCCCACGTGCACAGCCCTGCTGTCTCCTTAGCCACTGGCCTGGAGAATGTCGTGCCTGCAAATGTGCTGGAGTTTGCAAACTACCAGGCCTACACAGGCCCTGGGGAAGGTAACAAAAGGTCCAGTGACAGTGTTCTCATGACATGGAAGGGACAAGGCATTAGGAGTATGAGCACTTGGCTTTTTCTTCCAGGGTAGAAATCAGAGTCACTAAGAACTCACCCATCAGAGAGCGTGTCTTCTGCCAGGTTCTGCCGGACACTCGGCAGAGCGGGTGGGGCCCTGAGCCCTGACGCAAAGCAGCAAGGAGCGAATGGGCTTCTCTCAGGCCAGCTGGAAACACAGAGACGAAGCCACCAGCTGTCTCTGCCGAGAAACCTCGTGTTTCCTGGTGGAGACTGAAGGGATGGATTCAGGGGATGGGGCGGTGGGATTGGGCAGCCAGAATACACCAGTCAGAGTTGCAGGAAATGATGTCGGACTGGGCTTTGAGCAGACTTTATAAAGCAAGCTGATGAGTTTGCAGAAGCAACCCAACAGCCAGCAAATCAGGAGAGGGTGTCAAGAAGGTGATGGGCAGGCAGATCCTCTGGAGACCTGTCTGCCAACGGAATCAGGACTAGCTCCTTTGCCTGACACCTTGCAGTGCTCCCTCTGCTCTGCCCAAAGCCTCGAGGAAGAACTAGAGAAAGTAAAGCAGAGAGAGAGTGTGTGTGTGTGTATGCACGCACACCTGTGGGGCAGTGGGGGGGGTGAACGTGGCATCAGGTGCTAAGAGCCAGCTGTCCATTCTGAGTTGGTCCCCACCCTCAACCCAGCCCTCCTACTGTAGCTGATTGGCACTGCAGAGTCTCTGAAAGGCCAAGAGCCCCTCTGGCTGTTGGCAGAATCCATTTCTTTGGGTTTTCTTGCTAGGTACTGGCCAGGGGCCAGGTGTGGCCCCCAGAGGCCACCCTCAGATCCTTGTCATATGGCCATGCCCCTGGCATGACCATTTGCCTCCTCAAGACCAGAAGGAGAATCTCTGCCTCTAGAAAGGGCCCATCTGCTCAGGTCAGGAACATCTTCCTTTTGATTAGGTGGATTTGTTGTCTACTCAGGGTTGTGGCTAGCATATTCTCAATTCACATGCTTACCACAGTCACAGGTCCCGCCCACACTCCAGGGAAGGGGATTATACAGGGCTGAAAGTTGATCTGAGTTGATTCTGGCTTGTAGCAATCCTATAAAACAGAAAGAGTACAGCTGCCTCACAGAGTTTCCAAGACTGCAAATCTCTACAGAAGCAGGCTACCACATCTCCCGCCCACAGAGCGACTGGTGGATTGGAACTGTTGACCCTTCAGTTGGCTACCACAGCACCTATGGCATGGACACCAGGGGATGGAAATCTTAGGGGCCATGTGAGAGTTCTACCTCCCACAGGGCTGATCGACCCTGTCCTGTAGGGTTGCTATGAGGTGGAACTGACTCAATGACGGTGTTTGTTGGGGGAGTTTTATTAGCCATTACTATGTATTGGTGGAAACACAGGAGTTGGTACTACATTCATGAGGATCTGTCACATACAGTCATTGAAGGCCTTTAGTCCATTGTATCTTACAAAGAAACGAGGGAACTTCCTGGCTCATTTCACGGGAAAGTCCCAGATGTTGGGCTAGTTTCAGGCATGGATTGATCCAGGCATCAAATAATGTCATCAGGCTTCATTCACCTTCTGGTTGGACTGCTGCCTCCATATGACTTATTCTTACACAGTCACCCCATCGGGCGATACAGACCAGTTTCGGTGACAAGCCTATACCTTGCTGACTGGCAAAGAAATTACCCTTTCCCTTAATCACTGCTGCTGCTGTCGTTAGGTGCCCTTGAGTCAGTTCCTACCCATAGAGACTCTGTGCACAACAGAACCAAGCACTGCCTTGTGCTGCACCATCCTTGAAGGCCTTCCTCTTCTTCATTGCCCCTCTGCTTCACCAAGCATGCTGTCTTCTCTCTTTCTCAGGAGAGATGTGCCCATAGTATGTCAGACAGTGGCCACCCATGCCTCTGTGGAGCACTCTGGCTTTCCTTCTTCCAAGACAGATCTGTTTGTCCTTTTAGTAGTCCACAGTACTCTCAGTATCCCTCTGAGATGGGATACATGGAGTGCTGGAACCATGTATTATTGGCTGAAGTGTAACATCCTGAACCAGCTCCGAGATTCAGATTGGCCAGGACATCCGCATTCTTGAGAACCCGCCCCCACACTCCATGGAGATCGAGAGAAAAGGAGAAGGGGGTTCCTTAGGGCAGATGCCCTTTCCAAAAACCCCAAACCTGAAAGTCATGACTTCTGCCCTCAAGGGGTTTGCAGATCAGCGCTCAGGAGAGTGGTAGTGAGCAGAGTCCAGTGACAGAGATTGGACATGGAGGAGGCCTCGAGGGTGTTGGGAAATGAAATGAGCCTGTGACAGTGCAGCACATGTACCAGGCCTGGGGAGGAGTAAGTGATGGAGAAATATGAACTGTGCAGGTGGGAGCACTCAAGATGGGCTCACGGGATAGGGTGGGGTGGGGAGAAGGGAGCCTGCAGGCATTGCAGTCTCAGGGGAAGGGTAATGTGGGCTCCTGTGACTGGACCCTCCCCCTCCACAGCCTTCCTCGGTCAGATCCCTACGTGCCGAGCGTCTGATCCGCACCTCACTGGACCTCGAACTGGACCTGCAGGCCACGCGGACATGGCACAGCCAACTGACTCAGGAGATCTCGGTGCTGAAGGAGCTCAAGGGGCAGCTGGAACAAGCCAAGAGCCACGGGGAGAAGGAGCTGCCGCAGGGGCTGCGGGAGGATGAGCGCTTCCGCCTGCTGCTAAGGATGCTGGAGAAGCGGGTCAGTGGCCCCGGGGCCCAGGGAGTCAACCTCTGCCATCGACTCAGTCCTGACTTCCTGTGACCCCATAGAACAGTCAAGCTGCCCCGTCGGGTTCTCAAGCTTGAGAGTAGATCAGCACTCAGGAACCCCCTCAGCTCAGGAGAGTGGTAGTGAGCAGAGTCCAGTGACAGAGCGTGGACAAGGTGCAGGCCTTCCGAAGAGGCGCTTGCACCATGTGCCAGAGCCCACTGCCCACCCTGGCATCTCCTTATCTGCTCTAAGCCTCACGGGGCCCATAGGAGGAGGCCTCGAGGGTGTTGGGAAATGAAATTAACTTGTGACAGTACAGCTCATGCACCAGGCCTGGGGAGGAATCAGTGATGGAGAAATGTGAACTGTGCAGTTGGCCCTTGGGGCAACTGGTGGGCTCAGCCTGTTGACCTTCTGCTTAGCAATCGAGCACTGAACCCCTGGGTCTGCAAACACGGATTCATTCATGTGGTCCTTCAGTGAAATAGCGGGTCCCTACTCTGAGCCAGAACGCATGCTCTCAGAGTCTAGACAGGACTTGGACCCAGTCCCGTGCCGACATGCAACCCTGCAGAGCAGCCATGTCCAAAGTAGAGAGAAACCCAGCTGGGCGCCCAGGGGTACCAGCATTCCAAGTCAGGAATTTGCCAGGCCTCTCTGCACACAGCCTGACATTACAGACCGCGTCACGGAGGGTGACGTTGACTGTGGCAACCCAGGCCTCACTGCAGGCAGCGGTGCCTGAGGGCAGGAAGGGGGGTGGGGGGGGCGCGTGCAGCTAGACTTTCTGGGCCGGTACTAGTCAGAAAGCTTCAGACTGACTCCAGCAGTACAGGAGGCCCCCCCTAAAAAAAGTTCACCTAAAAAAGTTCATTTCTTTATACTTTGATATAAAGTATGTATGATATTGTCTTTCTGTACTTAACATAGAGTTACTGTCAACCTAAAGTGACTTATCTTCGAGCTTCCTGGTAACAAAAGAGATAGGAAATAAGTGCTTATGTGCCCTGGCATTAAAAAAAAGGTGAACTAAGAAAATCTTACTCATGACAATAACCTACTTTTTTTTAAATAACTAAAATGATGGCTCTGTAGTTACTAAGGCACCGGTGGCATAGTGGATGCCGTGTTGGTGGCTCAGACCCTTGAGCCGCTTCCAGGAACAAGGCTGAGGTTGTCTGCCCCCGGGAAGATGTACAGGTTTGGGAATCCAAAGGAGCAGTTCCCCTGCCCTACCAGGCTCGCTCAGAGTCGGAATCGACTCTTTGCCAGTGAGTGGGTAGTGGGGTGGTTGGTTACCAAAGTGCAGTGTGCATCCAGGGTCATCAGATAGGTGTCCACAGCCATGGGGGTGCCTGTGCTTAGTTCTCACAGATGCTCACCCAAGGTCCAATCAGGAGAGACTCCTGGGTTGCACTGCCTGACTTAGGAGTGCCTCCCCACCACGCCCTAGGTGTATGGCCTGAGAGACATTCATTAATGTACCTGAGCCTCAGTTTCCACATCTGTAAAATGGAGGAACTCTTGGGATCCACCTTCCTGGGTGGCCCTGCGGGTTAGATGAGACGAAACATATTTCTCTGGGCAACATGCCCTTACCTCCTGATTTCTGATCCTCAATCACCCGACCCCGTAATCTCAGACCGGCGATGTGTTCGTTCCCCCTGTCCATTCTGAATAAAGTGAACCAGGAAGAGTGGGGTGCCTGTTCTGGGACCTTAGGATCTCTGTTATCTCACTGTGGTTAAATAAACCAAAAGAAAGCTCCCTGCTATTGCGCCCATTCCAACTCAGAGAGACCTGAGCCGGGTTTCTGAGGCTACAAACCTCAGAGGGGAGGGGACCGGCCCGCAAAGGCCCATGAAATAAATCATCCCTACTGGCTAACATCACACGCCTCTCCAGAGAGGAGCCCGAGGAGTGAGCTCATGAAATGTCTGACCAGGATGGACCACAGATGTTATAATACCTACACAGCCCTGGGCAGAAAGAAGGCCCCCACCCCTGCTGTCAATCTTTACGGAAACAGACAGCCTCGCTGTTCTCCTGGGGAGCAGCTGGTGTGTCTGCACTGCAAAATGGGTGTTCAGACCCGGCCGTGTGAACGATCTCTCCCTGTACAGTGAGTGGTGGTGCTTAATGACATGCACCGTGCTGTGTCACCGCCACCGTCCTTTTCTAAAATGGCTTTCTCGCCCCAAACACACACTCTATGTGTGCCCCGTTAGCAAGCACTCCCCACCAAAATGGGGATGCAGAATGTTTGCCTTTCGGTTCCTGACCTATTCCACTCAGCATCGTGTCTCAGAGTTCATCCGTGTGCCTCTACGCATCAGAATTTCTTTTTTCGGTTCAATAACAGGCCCGTGAGTGCATGCACCACATTTTGTTAGCCCATTAGTCTGTCAATGGGCACTCGGGTTAGCTCCACCCCTTAGCCATCATGAATTGTATTCCGGGGGTGTCAGTGACCCTCAGACCTGTGCCCTCTCACAGACTCCTCCTATAGGACCTAGGGGGATCGAAAGTTCTCCCCGAGGGCTTCCACCATTCGAGGCCTTGCTTGTTTGTCCCTGCAGATGGACCGAGCCGAGCACAAGGGTGAGCTGCACACAGACAAAATGATGAGGGCGGCGGCCAAGGATGTCCACAGGCTTCGAGGCCAAAGCTGTAAGGAGCCCCCAGAAGTGCAGTCTTTTAGGTAAGGCACTGGAGTACCTGGTCGCCCCCCCAGCCTTGGCCGTCTCAAGGTGCAGATCTCCAGCTCTGAGACAGGTGTGTTTCCTCTGCCAAGCTGTCCCTGGTGTGTGTGAGCTCCACTGAGCCTTCCCTCAGCTGTCTTCATCAGTCCCTACACAACTGCAGCTAATTTGTTAGACGCTCTGGTTAAATGAATGAGCCAGCTGCCCCAGCCTCTCCGCCAGACATTTTGATCACCAGTAATTGTAAAGGATTGGCTGAGTGATAAATAGTGTGGGTAACAGTGCTCACTGATTACTGCCTGCCTGCATCCCAAGGGGGCGTCTTCTCACTGGACTGGACCCAAGCATGGGTCACGATGGCCATTTGGCTCAGACAGCCAATTCTTAGGAAGCTGTGCTTTGTGGCTTGTGACGTTCTCCAGTCAGATGCTTGTGTATGGGCTTTTAATAAGATTCGCTCTAGTTTTTATGAGCACATTTGGATCCCCTAACTTTGAATGACTTGGGGGGACTCTAAAGCACACACTAGAGGTGGCCTAGTTTATTCGCATCTAGATAGTTCTCAATACTAGGCGACTCCATGTGTCAGGGTAGAACTGTGCTCCAGAGAGTTTCTGATTTATCAGCAATAGATCGCCAGGCCTTTCTGCTGAGGCGTGCTGGGCTGGACCCAAACCTCCAACTTTCTGGTTACCCATAGAGCATGTTAACTGTTTACATACCACCCAGGGACTTGGAATTCACCCAAGGACCCTTATAGACTCTGAGGGCCCCTATTGGAATTGAAAGTGACTGGTTACGCTAATGGGCTCCCTAAAAGCGGTTCTTGACCAAAGATAACTTTGCCTTCCCTGGAATATCTGGCAGCATCTGGAGGCATTTTTGATGGCCAGGACGGTGGGAGGTATTACTGGCATCAAGGGGGTAGAGGCAAGGATATGGTGAGACACCCTGCAATGTACAAGGCAGGTCTCCACAATCCAGAAGACCCATCCCAAATGTCCACTCCCCAAACCCACTGCACTCCAGCCCATTCCAAGTCAGAGCAGCCGTATATAGGCAGGCTTTCTGAGGCTGTAAGTCTTTACAGGAGTGGGCAGAGTCCTCTCTCTCCTGAGAATCAACTGGTGGGTTTGAAATGCTGGCCCGGCAGTTAGCCGACCAACTCACTCAACGTACCTCCGAGTGTCTGATGGCCGCTCTAAAGGGGATGGTATCTTTCACAGGGAGAAGATCGCCTTCTTCACCCGGCCTCGAGTGAACATCCCAACCCTCTCTGCGGACGACGTCTGATCGCCAGAAAAGTATTCCCTTTGTCCCTGGTCCCTCGGTGAACACCCACCTGCCTGTGACTCGCGTTATTGATGTGCTGTTAGATGAAGGGGCGGAGTCACCAGTCGAACGGTTGATTTCTTTTTCTTTTTTTAGTCTGGGTCCGTTTGTTATTACTGAAAAAACACACAAACAAAACCACAAACCAGCATTAAAATGACCAGATTGTATAGTTTGTATATTTAGGAATGTATTTTTGGGAAAGAAGATTTAAATGAGCTAAAGCAGTGTTCACTTGCTGCTCTTCTTAAAATGGTTTAGGTTTGTTTTTTCTTTTCTTTGTACAGCTCTACCTTTTAGAGGTTTTACTGCAATAAGTATGTGTGGGGGGAGCTGTTCCTAAGCAGGCTGTCCTGCCAATGCCACAGCTCAGCTGACCTTTTCCTGGTTAACACGTTTTGTACAATATCACAAAAGGAACGGGTAGGGACTCTCGGGGACTCGGAGGTGCTTCCATGTTTGTGCTTGGCCGCCTGCCTCAGAGCAAGCAGGCCGGCAGCAGCGCAGGCCGAGCCCCGACCCGCACCCACGCCGGCCCGATGCCCAGTGAAACCACGGCAGTGAGGGGAGGGCTGTGGAGAACTCCAAGCAGTTTTCATCAATAAAGTGGCCTTTCTGAAAGAGCGTGCTTTCTCTGTGTGCACACCTCGATGCCCATCGTCGCCCTCCCTGGGAACGTTGGTGATGGTAGTGTGTGGTGGGTTTCCTCCCGAGCCCCCTCTGCTGACATCCGCTGGGGGAATGAGAGCACGTGCCTGGCTGGGCTTGTTGCAGCCAACTAGATGTCAGCCTCAAAGAAACAAAGAGCCGAGGCCTCCGCTTGCTCCTTCCTCCAAAGTTATCCTGAGCAACCTTCCTCAATCCAGCAGCATCAGCAGCATGTGTGCAATAAATGCCAATTCCTGGGCCCTTCCTTAGACCCCCGGAAAGCCCGGCTGGGGGGTGGGCCCAGAGACCTGCACTGTCAGCATGTACCCAGTCTAAATCTGATGCCTGCACGCCGCAGGCTGAGACCCACCGCGTGATGTGCAGAGGGGAGGCCGGACAGGGAGGCCACATGCCCTGTGGCAAGTCACAGAGGCCACTCCAGTGTGTGTGGCTTACCTCTGGCTACAAGGGATAAGGGGCTCTCAAGGGAGCAGAGCCCCCTTAACTTGACAGGTGAGGTTCTCCCTGCCCACCCACCCCTACAGACTTTACAGCTTCTCTTCAAGTAGAAGAGCCCACCTCTCTTCCCCACGTGGTGGCCAAGACCTTCAATAGCCAGACTTTGATCCAACTGTGCAGCCCAGTGCTCAGGCTCTCCTTCCTGGGAAGGCCAGCCACCCCGCACATTGAGCGCATGGCTCACAGTTCCTTCCTAGGCATGTCCATGTTGCCCACAAGCAATGTGAACAGACCCCGGCGTATGCACACAGTTGTACCTTATGTTCTCTTGGGTTCCCCTAATGGCTGGCATAGCTGCTGGCCTCGCTGAGTCTGCAGCCTCCTCTGTGCTCCTGGTCAGGCACTGGCTGGGCATTCATGGCGGTTCATCCCATCGGTGGCCAGGATTAGAACAGGAGTGGGCATCAGAGTCCTTCTCTAGCATTTTCTACCTGAAGGTTAAAAAACAAAGCTGGCCTTTTAGACTAGCTGGAGACCGTTTGGAATTATTTTCCAAAGTATCCCCTTCAACAAATTGACTCTTTGTGTTAAAAAAAAACGAACAGGGGACTTGCAGGAAGATGGCGACGGAGTGACACATACCAGAGGGACTCCCCAGAATCCAGCCAAGGAATGTTGCTTAGAGGGAACTTTAACACAGCTGGAATGCAGGAGGAGCATCATAAAGATAAGTAGGCACAGACCCAGGGGTTTTGAGGGGCTGGGGCCTTTTGGCTTCCCTCAGTGGAACCTGGCTGGGGCTTGACCTTGGCCCAGCCACTGTCTCTGCCGGAACCGGGACCATTTGAAGCCCATAGGGGGATTTGGTCTCAACACAGCCACAGTTTACCCTCACCAGCCTCAGGGCAGGGACTAAACCCTCGCAACTCCATGGGCTGGGATCAGGGTTGAGCTACATTGTTGCTTTTGTTTACATATCTGCTCTCTGTCCCCCCACGGTCTTTGAGGGCTGCCCAGGGGCTTTTTCTCAGCTCAGCTGCGGATTGCCGGCTTGCCGCTGCTGCCTTGGGGCAGGGACTAAACCCTTGCAGCTCCACAGGCAGGTGGGGAGTGGGACTCAGCTACATAATTGCTTTACTTTCCCTCTCTTCCCTATATTCCCGCACAGTCTAAACGGTCTTTTTAATTTTTTTCCCTCCTCTTTCTCTTTCCTGTTTTCTCACACTCCACTGCTGACCTTCAGCCCACTCCCCTTAGCCCAGGGCATTTACACCTGCACCACACCCAGCTAGGTGAGCTCCACCCTGTGTAGCTAGCCCGAGGCTAGGGAAAGC